AAAAAAGATAATATCAATAAAAACGAGTTCAATCCAAAATGCTCGATTCCACATTTGATTTTATGTGTAGAGTCAATAGGACATTGAGTTATTTTCAAAATCATTTGCTTTTTGGCGAAAGACTAATTAAAAATCACAACTAGTGAAAACTTCGAACAGAATCAATATTGAACTGACAACTTCCATTCTCATTTTAATATAATTCACTAGATAATAGTTGATTTTTTCGTCATACTTACTAATAATAATTTTTCTATAAAAATTTATCTCTAGAATACACAAAATCTTCTCGGTAGATATTTCTGTTTTTTGCTGCAGTCGATAAACAATTTGATTGAAAATAATGCACATATTTCTGAAAATTTACGAAATACCAACCTTTGTCAAACTAAGATTGTCATATATATTTTTATGTTCTCAGTTTATTAAGAATTAATTAATTATACCTATATTCTAAAAGAATATTTTTTTACGAAACATCCAGGTCGAACAATATGGTCCGTTTGCTTGACACACTATTGCGGATCGTAATTATTTCCGTCGTAAAAGATTCGTAACTTAGGCGTATTGTCACAGTATACGGTTCATACTCGATGTCTTTACTGGACACAATGATATGAAATCATTTACGGAAAAAATATGACCATGTACGGATATTTTATAGCAGAGATACGATCCGTAATACTGCGTCAAGTAAACGGACCGTAATGGAGTTCCGTTTTGATTGACCTGGGACCTAGAAATGGATCCATAGATTTTAAAAATATTCAAAAATCAGTCACAACGCTCAGAAAAGAAATCTTAAAATGTACCGAACATTTCTTTTTTTAGCATTTTGACTCATTTATATTTTGAAAATTTGCGGAACCTTTTTTGGGAGTTTCGTAAGAAAGCTAGTTTTTCTAGAGTGTAGTTCCTCGAAGTGAATCGTTGGTTGAATACACTTCCTGGAAAAATAAGTGTTGACAGCAAATGGTTCCTCCCAAACATTCGGTTCTTTGAGCTGTGAGCTGTCCTAAGCCTAGCTATTAATAGATCAAAAGGATTGGTAAATTGGTGAGCAGACTCAAAATAGATGTAAACTATCGACCGCGTTTTCTTATTTTGGTAGCACGACGTATATCATGTTCTTAAACGGCACATTTGTTTGAAAGTTTTTTAGTAGACTTCTTAAAGTTCTATTTGTTCAATCATTGCAATCTGGATCGATAATGACATAAATATACTATAATTAGTGTTAAGTTTGATTTGGTCGCAAATCCTCTAAGTATCTTCTAGATATGATCAACATCTAGCAGATTACATTCTTGTGAATGATACTATCTTATGAGAAGATCTTTTTAATATTTAAGATTTTTGATATATGGTGCACTGATGAATAATGCGTAATCCATAATCTCATAAAACAGATGATTACTCTCAAAAATAGAACTGAATAGTGAGATAATTGATTACACACACGCATGACACTAAACAATGACGTTGTTTGCAACATATAGGTCAAAATATATACTCAAAGTAAACTATTCTTTATTTTTCCACCAACAGGTATACGTTCTGACTATTATACACTCCTATCTTCGTCGAATATTTCTTATTACCTTCGCACTTTTGATTTGGATAATGTATCAACAACGTTAACATGCGATATATACAAGTTTCCAACAGTTCCACCGAGCGTAGAATCGTTTATGGGCATCCAAAAGCCAAACAATCTATCCCGCTTAAAAACGAAATTAACCGAAGAAGATTTTCAACGCTTTGTTAAAGAAGTCAACGAATGGATTAAATGGTTTGATTTATTTTTCGATATTTTCGAGTATGTTATCAAATGGCTAGGTGAACATGGCGTCGAAAATGCTGTTGATTTGTCACAGATTATGCATAACATAAGAACAAGTCCAACAATAACTCTAAAAGAACAAAGAGAGGTAGCAGCAAAAGGATTGAAAATACTGGAACCGCTCGAAAACAATATTGCACGACTTTGTGATTTATTAAATCAATCAGAGTCTTTTCAAACCATTGTGAACGGTACAGTGGATGATAAAAGTGATGCGAAAAAATATATACAAGAATTGAGACGATTACAACCTAATAATACATTTACCGTTGAAAAACACAAGACTTTTACAAAAACAATTCCGCTAAACAGTCGTCAACATGTTTATTGGTCTATTGCAAGTGATTGTCATGAATGCAATCTTCATATTTCACATAAAAAGAAATCGTCATCCAATCAAGAAGAAATATTATTCGAGGGAGAAAGTGTTCATGTGGAAAAACACGTTTTGTCGGGTGAATTTGAGATTCAGTACGATGGTGACCTAAATATACAAGTTAGAAATAGTGGACACGCGCCACGTATCATCTGGTTTCGAATTAAACAAATCTCCCTGCCAAAATGTAATTTGTTTGATGGAATATTCAAATTCTTCTACGAAAAGCAACGCAATGAAGCTCAAGCAATGAATGAAGAACTAGTGAACGAATTACTCGTTATGCACGTATTTCCACTGATAGATAAACTCTTGAAAGGAAATATAAGTTTACAAGAAATGGATGAACTCAAGGATGTCTTTTGTGGCAACAATATCTCCTTTCAAGATGAACTGATGAAGTTATATACTAATCAACGGATTAGTGCATCACTTACCAAACGAGAGCGACATGTAGCAGCAGCAGCAGATACAGACATTAAGCAAAAAATTGAACGAGTTTGTGAAATGCTACAAAGTTATCAATATTACAGTTGTATAAGTATTATCATTAGTTGCATTAAAAATTTTGAAATAATCAAAAGTGGCACGTTTAGTGGTGACGCCAGGGAGGGGCAAGGGGGTACTGAGCCCCCTCAGATTGAAATTTCTGACGCCGCTAACACGTTTCAAAAATTAGAACAGCTCGAAAGTAATAAATCGTGCACTATTCGAGAAATATCAGATGCGTACAACATTTTCAAAGATAAGTGCAAATCTCGGCACGCACAACTTTTACAATTAATTAGAGTGGCTGTCGACCATCCAATTGTTGTTCAGAAAATGAAAGAATTCGACTTTTATTCAGATAATGGACAGCGTCGATTTCAAGAACTTCGAGATCATTTGACGACACAATTTCAATTTCAAGAGAGAAACAATAACATACTCAACTCGTTGATTGTTACCGTTCCGTTGTGTAAACCGTTTGTTGAGCAAGTGCATACATTCGAAGAATTCCTTGAGAATCTCGCTAAACTGCCTCAATTCGAACAAAGCTCTTTCGATCACATGAAAGGTAAATGCATATTTATGCCTTGCAAATATCCGTATATCTGCGGAAACTTATGCAATAAAGTATAGGAACAAACTGATACAAAAATATGGGAAAAGTATTCTTATTATTATAGTGCAAAACTCTAAAGTTTCATTTTCAGAGAAATATTGTTAGATATTTCGATAAATTTCAAACATAAAGAACACTTTGTGAACAGGGAACCCGAGCGGTAAATAATGATATAATAACAGACTATTGGCTTCTAGAAAGATCTTTTCTTACGTTGCACTGATATAAACTCTTTTCTATACCGAAGAATCACGTGTCAGGCATTTCGATAGGATTATGATTATCTCTGACGCATATGCGAGAAAAATGTATGAAATGAATCAAAAATAATCGTTGTTTTGCACCGGAATCGTATAACTTGTTCAAGAATATTAGTAGTGCCTCGAAGTTGTCGTGAAAATGGCACATAGATTATTAGGAAACTGTTTTAAAACAATCAAAATTCAAGTTCATAAAGTGTCAACTTTTTATAAAAGCGAACTATTTTTTCCAAACACATTGCTCGAATCTAATAGTCAAGTCAACGAGTTTCAATTTTAAAACTAAATTCAAGTCAAAAGCACCCCGAATTACAACTCGAGTACTAGTCATGCGTCTGATTCCTCCAACTTTGAGATTATTAGTGATGTACTAATTTCGGTCGAAATTGTCAGCCATATACTTATGAGCTATATTTTTGGTCAGACTGAAACTGAAAAAGACCTTCCAAAACAGACCAGTTTCCAGTAAGAGTGAGTTCAGTAATCATTCCAAGTCTTTAGATCATTTTAATTTCATAAGCTATAAGGACCTGTACTTCTACTGTTTATAAAACCATGTTGATAATAGAAATAATATTGATTCTTTTACCTAGACATGAAAAATGGAACTGGACGATGTAATTATGAACGTCTTCATTTGAAAAGCGACTCTCAGTAGAATGTTATTGATCATAACAATTTCATTCTATATATTCAACTTGATATCGTTCTATCGAAAGCATTTTGCGAATACAAGCGTCAGGAAAACACTAATAGAAAGTCTACGACGAGTACAAACACATATAAAACATGCCTGTTAAGATTGAGTTCATCCTTATTTTGCACACCATAAATATTTTTAGCGAAGCTAGAATGCCATTACTTTTGAAATATCGACAAAGTACTGATATGGCAAGTTTGCTTTATAAAACATTAAAGAAGTTTATAATTTTGTGCAATGTTCAGACTTGAAGATGCGGTATAGAAATAAGACAGAAAAGAAACTTTATGAATTCAGGCGAACAGCTCTAAACTAGGCTAACTTTGGTAGAGAGTCTCCATATCTCTTGAAAAATTTCAGTGGCATATCAGTAGGTTCCCATCTGAGTGGATTTCTATGGTGTTCACAAAATACAATAGGATCGTTGATCAACTACTTTACTTATGAAATACACAAATATTTTCTTTAGGCTTTAAAAATCATATTACAATTAGTTAATACTAAAAGTCATTAATTTATTTTTATTTTAAGTTGTCAGTGAAAATATCCAGATTATTAACTTATGGCTATCAGCAGAAGAAACCAGTGTTTTTGATAATGCGCTTATTACGATGGAACATTTGTATAAAAGTGGTATGGTGCATATCCATTTACGGCATCTCTTGAATGAACCAGCTAATCTTGAAATTGACTACTTGATCAATAAAAATCAAGGAATGGTCACTCATCGACCTGATAATCGTAAATATGAAAAGCAAGAGAGCTATTCAAGTGATGGTGAATCAGACAAGAATAGTGATTACGACGATGCCAGGCAAGAAGACGCTCATAATAATGAAGATAATTCAGATGAAGAGAGTGATAACGATGAAAACGAAGCACAATTAGATAAGAATAATCTCAAATTTACATTATCAAAAGCGGATATTGACGATCACAAACGTCAATTAACATTTTGCAGAGTAGATTTAGATGAAGATATGATTGACAAAAGAAATCTGCTTGATGAACAATTGACATTGTTAAAACGGATCGATGAAATATTTTCCTTACTCACTAAGTTAGAAATGGATGGTCATCCAGCCTATCAACTGATGGATAAACACATCAAAATCAATTACCGAGCAAGTGAGTGTGATGAAACATGTTGATAGGGCTTTTTGATTGTAATAATACCTATTATTCAAGAAAAGATATATGGAGAACTACACCCCAAACATGATCTTTGTTGATCTATATTAACATATTTCTGTAGGCGATCGTTTACTGACAGTATTATGTTCGATCTACACAATTCTGTTCTAAGCAATAAGCATAAAGACTTTTGAAGTTAAATTTATTAAACGTATAACAAACATAAGAAAGATAGTTCTTTACCATGTTTTAGAATCAGGAGAATATCAAGTAGCACTCTACTTAAAAAATGCGAAGATTGATCATTTCTTTCTTCCATATGCATTGAATTTTATATTAGCTGGTTTTGATTGAAACTTGATAAAGAAGAAGTACACAGAAGTTTCGTTGATATGCTGCATAGACATAACCAAGACAGTGTATTATTTCACAGAACATGCATATCATTCATACACAAGTCAATTTTAATGGCATGTTCGTACTAGAACAGCAATCTGAATTACATAATACAATTTTTAAAAATCTCGAGTTATATTTGTCGTGTATCGTTTCAATAGTAGGCAAGTTAAATGATCAGATTTTAATAAAGCAGTTGACAATTACTCTAAGAAATGGAACCAGTGATCAAACATATCTCTATAGTTCGAGCTTTTCAGCGTCGATGAGTAATTCGTATATAATCGATAAATTTTTTTCCTTCTTGATTAGAGAACATAGAAGAAATATTCTTCAAAGTTAGAGATGATCAAGATGAATGTAAAGAGAAATTACTCAAAGCCGTCCAATCACGAAGAATAAGAATTGATAAAATCTTCAAAAAATTAGAATCCGACTACCAAACATGGATTAATGCCCTGAAAAAATATAGGAAAAAACGACTGTTAATGTTCTTTTCAAATCGTCAAGTTATGATCATGATCATTCTGCTTTCGTCATCGGATGAGAAAAATTCAGTCAAAAGTCAATTTATTAGTAGGTGGTATTCGATCAAGGATCAAAATTCCCGCGAAATCATACGAAACCTAAGCATACAGTGTTTGATCAGCTATCTTCGTTCATTACGCTTGAATGAAAGTGTTGATTTTGAAAATAACATAGTTGATTTATATGCCAGATACCAAATTTCATATGACGCAAATGTTGAAAAATCTCTTGATAATTTGAGTCGTTTTCTCAATAAATTATTTCCTGATGAAAGTCGCTTGCCGAAAGATGAAACACGCACAGGACATCAGTATATTATCGCAGTAAAGTCATCAAGACAAACGACACATGATCATCCGCTCAACAATACTCTTGATATGGATACATGGTGCACATTATTGAACCTCTTTCAAGATCAGTTACCATCGTCTAACCAAATTCTCTGGTGTACAAAAACAACTGAAGATGATATCAAACTATTCTATTTACGTATTCGGAAATTTTGTAATTTAATCTTTGTTGTATTGAACCTCGATAAAATGCATCCTCGCCTTCGGGAACTATTATTAAACGAACAAGAATCGTTGTCACAATCTAAGCAGGCTCACGGAACTGTTTATTACTTTTCAAGAGAATTAGCAAGTCGACGAGGCGTGGAATCATTTCCTGCATCATCGCAAAATAGAATTAATATTCAGATAAAGTCAAATTTGGTCAACCTATTTAGAAAAGCCACGTGCGCACAGCCGCAAATTAATGTTATTGATGGAAAATCCGGTATTGGTAAGTGAAATGTCCTCACAGTTAGGGGTGGCCCTTTATCTTTATTTTCCATTATAATTAAGGATAAAGATAAATGAATCCTTTACTCTTAAAAAATAAAGATAAATGGATGCTTTATTTTTAAAAAATAAAGTTAAATAAATAAAGGAATGCTTTATTTTTTTAAAAATAAATGTAAATGTATTGTTTATCTTTAAAAAATAAAGGGAAAATAAAGGAATAAATGATCCTTTTTACAATCGATAATAGGACTGAAGGAGCACTAGAATCATTGAATAAATCTACAGACAGATTGTTATCGTTTAACAATGTAATTTGATTAAAAATATGCTTCGTACAATGAAATTCAAAGATAACAGAAATGAAAGCTTTATTTCTCGCTTTTTAGAGTACTAAGAGGAAAATCTTATAACACTCTAATGTGATCAAAGGCTGCTTATTTATTAAGACATCTTTGTGAAGCTATATTTCAGACTTGTGAAATGCCTTGATCTGATGAATTACCACTCAATCTTGATAATATTTCTAAATAGAATTCTTGCATAATTTTGATTTTTACTTCTAGGCATCTTCAGTCTTATTCAATATACTCTTTATATCCTAAGTCTCAGATAGAATTATAAATAATAGCATAAGCTTGATATTTTTTGTGGCATGTTTGCTTGTTTGTGTTAACTGATAAGTACGCAGATATTTGTGAGATTTCCAAGAAGTATTTATATTAAGTCCCGTCTGTTCTAAAATTTAGTCGATCATACGATTTCACCGTCTAATTCTTGTCGCAATAAGTTGGTTGAGGATAAGAATCTAAGCTTGGGAACTCGGGAGTTGTGATCCGTTATAAATATTGATGTTGTCAACGTGAGAAAGAATCATGGTTTCATGACTCTTTCTATGTTTTTGGAAAGGAGTGTGAGTATGTGGCTCGTAGAAACAAATATGATCTTGCACTTGAAGACGTTCATTACAAGAAACAAAGGCGACCTAGTTTTTAACAATCACTGACACACTCATCATAAACTTTGATTGTAGCGCTTAAGTTCTAAAGAGAAAATTTGATCTCGCACTTGTGGTAACAGTGTAGAACGCAAGTCAGATCATAACGGTGATATGAATCAAAGAATAGAAGTGACTTAGCTAAAGTATCACGATTTCAATAGCGCTTTTCGCAACATAAAACATCTTTTTAAAAAAATGTACAGATGAATATGAGAATATAAAACTGATGATTTGCAAATTAGTAATGTTCAATAATTTTGATAAGGACATGTAAACTTTTGAGATCATTCATAAGAGAAAAATGGCCTATGCTTACAATTGCTAACAAGTTAGTAGAAAATGATCTATTTAACCATCTCAACAAATCCTCACAAGTAGCAACTTTGATATGAGCAAGAAATTGTTTAAAAATACTATTAATGTCTTCTTTTTTACTGTTACCCTCTGATTTCTCGTACAATGTATAATTATGTCTTATGTTTTTGAGATCAGCTACTTGATAACTTAATTATAATAAGTTTGAACTGCTTGATGCAGTATTTGATAGAAACAATATTATGCGTGTGTTTTGAAATCTGTGTGAAAATTCAAATTTTATCTGTATTTTTTTTCATTTTTCAAATGAAAAATCAAGAGTCAGTCGCAGGAGTAAAACCGAAACTCACTCATAATCATTAATCAATGTCCTGAACAGTATATAATTGCTTATTTTAGCAGCAAGCTAACAAATGTTTTTCAGAGCTTAATTTTCGAAAATATACTTTTCACCGATTTTATTACAAAAATTCTAATTATTAACTGTTCTATGAAGAAATCCTGCTGGTTAGTTGAACTAAATATATCATTAACTTGCTAGTGACTCTGATATTCTATATATCAAAACAAAGGACCTTGGATAAATTTTTGAAGAAATAAGAAATATTTTGTTGAACACATGACACAGTATGAAATGTTAGATGTGAATCAGACCGAATAACATCTCCAACTGTCAGAATTAACCGACAATATTAATCTGGCTCCCGCCTATGATTAATATTACCACAGTGTGCAGTGTTCTTGATAATTCTTCGTAAAGAATCATCTACACCATCATCTAGTCCAATAAATAACATGGACAAACATGATGCCGAAACTAGGAATCGAACCTAGGCCCTTGTCTATCGCGGAGATTGCTCTACCAACTGAGCTATTTCGACCCATTATCTTATACCTATATAAGATAAGTGGTGCATGTACTTCATACAAAGAACCTGTGATCGTTATCGATGATATTCAATTCTTTTTTCACTAAATTCGTCATCTCTTTCCTTTATGAAGGCAGTGTGATAAACGAACTGGATGATTAGTCGGACAGTGTGGGTGTGATATATGTATCTACACCCTACCACTTTTTAATTCCAATTTAATCTAATCATCAGCGAGTACAAAGTACATTAGATGTTATTAGATGTGAAAAATGATTGAAAAGTGAAAGATGATTCTTTACGGAGAATTATCAAGAACACTGCACACTGTGCTAATATTAATCATAGGCGGGAGCCAGATTAATATTGTCGGTTCATTCTGACAGTTGGAGATTGTTATTCGGTCTTTTTCACATCTAATAACATCTAATGTACTTTGTACTCGCTGATGATTAGATTAAATTGGAATTAAAAGTGGTAGGGTGTAGATACATATATCACACCCACACTGTCCGACTAATCATCCAGTTCGTTTATCACACTGCCTTCATAAAGGAAAGAGATGACGAATTTAGTGAAAAAAGAATTGAATATCATCGATAACGATCACAGGTTCTTTGTATGAAGTACATGCACCACTTATCTTATATAGGTATAAGATAATGGGTCGAAATAGCTCAGTTGGTAGAGCAATGTCCGCGATAGACAAGGTCCTAGGTTCGATTCCTAGTTTCGACATCATGTTTGTCCATGTTATTAATTGGACTAGATGATGGTGTAGATGATTCTTTACGGAGAATTATCAAGAACACTGCACACTGTGGTAATATTAATCATAGGCGGGAGCCAGATTAATATTGTCAGTTCATTCTGACAGTTGGAGATTGTTATTCGGTCTTTTTCACATCTAATCACACCCACACCCACCCACACCCACACCCACACCCACACACCCACACCCACCCAGCCCAGGTCTGGCAACATATCTATGATTTAGGTAAAGAAAAAGATCATTGGGCTAAAGAAATAGTAAATATAACACATACACGGGAGGCTAAAATAAATGTGTCAATGTGTGAAAAGAAATTAGCACAATTGATAACGACATGTTTCGATGCTAATAATATAATTACACGGAATATGCGATAACTTTCATCTAAAACAGCCACTGTTGCTACACAACGAGTACATAATCTTATACTTGATTATATTAAAGAGGCTACACAAGGTTTAGCTAAAATCAGCATTAATAGAATTCGTCGTGCTTCAATTGAAAAAGATGAATGGGATGCTCTAAAAACATTTGAAAATGTTGCATCAGAACAACAAAAAATGTATGCTAAAACCTTTTGTAAATCGACATTGAATAACTACCATAAGAAAAAGAAAAGGTTTGAATTGGTAGCTGCACATATATCAAATGATATAATACCGAAAATCTTACCGAAGTATGACTTTAGTCTTCCTGTGGACGAAAATTCACTTACAAGTGAACAGACCCAGGAATACAGAAAAAGCATACATGATTTATCAAAAGATTTTCGGCTTAAAGCAACAGAACTCTATCTAGGAATCGTCAAAGAAGAATTTGAATTTCAAAAAGAAAGATTACAAAAACTTCTTGATGATTTTCCACAAGATAGATATGAAGTACCATCAACACAAATTGATGATGATGATGAAGAACCTTTAGATAATGAAGTTTTTACTCAAAAACCATTATCACAACGACAAGAAACTATAAACAATAAGAAAGGTTCTGAATTATTTAAAAAATATATTATAATTGCACATAATAGAGCTCAATTAGAAATTGAAAAAGAAGTGCATTTTTTATCCGAACGAGGCGTCCAAGAGACGCCAGTTGGAACTCAAGAGCCAAAAGATCTAAATCCAGTGATGCGAATGGATTTCGTGCTCCAAGCATAATTAATGATGCTAATATAAATTTAAATAGGAGTGAAGAGGCCCTCCTTAAATTAGGCCCTAAATATATTCCAAATAACCCTCATCTCGCCCATAAACGTATGGGAAATGAGATAGAAGTGGTTGTAAAGAAACTAAATAAAATATTCGTTGAACACGGATGGGTACTACCTAAAGAACGGTTACATATCTTTATAGACTCGCTCGAAAAGATCTTGACTGATTGTCATGAAAGACACCCGCCAGCTGTTCAATTAAAAGAAATCAATAATTTAAGTAATAAATTTGAAGCTACACAAACAGTCATAAGAAAAACTGATAAATCGAAAGTTTTCCATCTTGGTAAACTTGATGACTATAAAGTGAAAGCTCAAACATATATGATTAATACTAAAGCTTATCAAGTTTTGGGTACAGAAAACCCACGTAAATCTTTAGTTGAACGTACAAATGATTTTCTTTATGGTTTATGGGTTAATAAACATATTACACAAAAACAATATGAAAAATTTAAAGTAGAGAAAGATGAGGCAGAATTAGCCCATCTTTATTTCTTACCAAAACCACATAAACCAGGAACACCTTTAAGACCTATAATGTCTGGTCTTAAATCTCCAACCATAGAAATTTCTAGATGGTTGGATAGTTTATTAAGACCATTGTTCGATCGTCTAGCCATAAATTCAACCGTTAAAAACGGCCTTGAATTAATACAACAAGTTGAAAGATGGTCGGCTACTTACCTTACACGAGCCACATCATTTGTAACAATGGATGTTACTGATTTATATACAATGATTCCACAAGAAGGTGGAGTAACGGCCATAAAAAAACTAATGGAGGCATCTGGATTAAAACAAATCGATGGTGTTAAAAAAGAGATCATATTAGCTCTTACCAGATTTGTTATCACTAATAATTATTTTTATCTTGATGGATCATATTATAAACAAATACGTGGAGGAGCCATGGGCTCTCCAGTGACCCTCACAATGGCTAATGCATATATGTATTTCGTTGAACGTCCTATTTCAAAATGGGCTAATAGGACATGTTCATTATATTATAGATACATTGATGATCTATTTATCATGTCAAATGTACATGCAGATATATTAAAAGATCTTGTGAATTTTTGGAATAGACTTGATAGTAATATTAAATTTTCAGAATCCATAAGACAAACTGCAGAGTACCTTGACGTTAGATTTGAGAATAGAGGAGGTAAATTGGTAACTGAGGTTTTTCAGGGTGTGGGTGTGGGTGTGGGTGTGGGTATATAGAAGATCAACATCCACGTCCACACCCACA